GTGTTTTCCTGCAGATTGGGACCAGGACTTGTGGTTGTCGGCCAAAGTGCCCACCACTCTGGGCTGAAAGGAAAAGAATTTGCTTGGCATCCATGTGCAAGGAATTTGTGATTGGGGTTGGCAGGCAGTTTGCTTCAAGGCCATAATAGCCTATACCAACATCCCTTGTTCAACAGGTCCTTTTGTGGTGGCTAACATCATCTTCTATGTGGGTATCTATGTCTGTGTGTGTACAGAGGTGAGGGGGTGTAGACGTCGATGTGCAGATAAAACGGCAGCGCAACGTTGTGGCTCAGGAGCGCCAACTGGTGCATTTCTCGCTGTGTCAGCACAACGCTGAAGAGGTCTGCCACATACTAGAAGCAAACATATCACATAATACCACCAATCATCCCTCTCACCAGCGACACGCCGTCTTGTAGGACACTCTTGTGGGACACTCTTGTGGGTCACTCTTGTAGGAAGCTCTTGCGGGGCACTCTTTTGGGACACTCTTGATACCACAATGATCCCGCTCACCAGCGACACGCCGCGTTTACGCCAGCGTGCTTCGCGCTCCCCAGTGGCACGGCGCCACGCAAACGCACTTCCCACCAAGGCGCGCAAATCCCAGTGGCACTGTGACATCACGAACGTACTTTGGCCACACGGTCTGTCCACACACTAGAAGCAAACATATCACATGATACCACCAATGATCCCGCTCACCAGCGACGCCGCGTTTACGCCAGCATGTTTCGCGCTCCCCAGTGGCACGGCGCCACACAAACACACTTCCCACCAAGGCCGCGCAAATCTTAATGGCTGCGACATAACGAACGTACTTTGGCCACACGGTCTGTCCACACACTAATGTCCACCTACGATTTATAAATATCCCTTGAATAAAGCTAAACACATCCCAGAACAGATTAATAAATTCCCCCCAAATAAAGCTAAATGTTTTCACCCCTGGAAAATCCAGCCTTTCCTTTATACTAAAGGAAAAAATCTCTACCAATACATTCACACTTGCATGTAGCTTGCGGGTGCAAGTTTTATGTTCACTGAAGTTCACAAAATGTCCCACCGGGACATTTTGGCCCAAGTTGGTGGGAATCGTCCACAGGATTCCACCTGAACTTTTGGAAGAAAACTCCCCAGTACATCGGTTCTTGTTGACGACGACGCAATGGCGCACCCGATGGAAGCGGAGTATGTGATGATTGAGTCTTTCAGAGATGCCCAACCAGACGTTGAGGATGCGGCTACGGTCAGTAGCCCCGGCATTGAGAGTTTGGACCAGGCAGCGGACGCTGCGTCTACAGCCCTCCGTCATGCGGAGGCGGAAGGGGCTAGGGGCCTTGCCGTTTTTGGGCAGCCCGTTTTGGTCTCCGAGCTGGACGCTCAGGAGCAGATTGAGTTGGAGCGCCGCCTGCAAGAACTCAAGGTCCAGATAGCCAATCAAGAAGATGCGGACATGGGCGTGGACCTCCTGGGGCTAGATGACCCTGCTGATGGCGGCGCTGGCAACCCTCCCTCTGCTCCTGGTGCCTCTGGCCCAGCGGCGGGGAGGGTTGCGTTTGCGGCAGCGGTGGCACCAACCTCGAGCTCTACTACACCTTCTGCAGCGGAGGCCCAGCCTGCGCTTCTGACAACCCTAGCGGAACCACCGGTGGCCTGGCCTGTTTCGGTGGAGCCACGACCAGCCGCACCAACGGAGCAGATGGAGGACGACAACAGTGAGCGAGCGGGCCTATAGGTTTCACGCCCCCCGCACCGGCAGGGTATTCGGTAGATCCTGTAGGCTCCTACGCCTTCTACACCTCCGGCGAAGGCCCAAGCACCAGAGCCTCCACGGCCGAGCAAGAGACCGGCTCCACAGCCCATGGAGGAACCAACATCCAAGACACCTACCCTGCCGGGCTTGCGGCCCGGCCAGTCTGGCGACGAGCTGCTCCTGCCCAGTCTACCCCAGGTGCCCCTGGCCCTGAGGCGACTGGCGTGGACCCAGAAGCGGAGAGGCGCTTCAAGCTGTCACACTCCATTGATGGGAGCCAGTTTGCCCAGGCCCCGGCGGCAACTTGCACTGAGGAAGAGCGGACCTTTGCGGACGAGGTCCCATCCGTCTGCAGAGTCCACATTCGGCAGGAGATCCTGTTGGCTGACTATGAGGATGATGCCGCGGAGACAACGGAGGCCCATCGCAGAAGGGTGGAGGAGCAGCAACCTTCACAGTCCTTCCAGATCTTCCACCCGGAGGCGGCCAAGGCCCTTCGCATTCAGTCTGAGGCCCTTCAAGGCCTCTCTGCTGCTGACCTCAAGGCGGAGCGCGCCCAATCAGAGGAGGCTGAACGCGAGGAGAAGGCGGACCACGTGGCCCAGTTGCAGGCCACCGTCTTGGCACCCATTCAGGAGGGCATGCAGTCGGTCCCGGACAGCCAGGTACGGAACTCCGGCTCCGACCTCCTACGGAAGGTCAACCTCCTGGACTTCAAAGCCGCTTTGAAGAAGAGGATGCTGGAGGAATCATCTGAGGCCTCCCTTCAGGCGGCCGTCGCCTCCATGGAGAAGGCCAAAGCGGCGAACAAACAGATCCAAGATCAGGGCACGGCCTTCATGGAAAAGTTTGCCCTCAACCCAGTGTAGATCTCGGCCTGGCCAACCGACCTCCAACACAAGCTGGAAAGGGGCCTATTTTGTCCGACGGCCTCCCTGGACTGGCACCAGGTCCCGGACCCCTCGGACATGTTGCAGCACTACCTTCCGGCCATGCGGGCACGAACCCATGGGCGGAGCACCCCAAACTTCTGGAGGAGATGCCCGACCTCAAGCACACAGTGGCTACGCGCGGCATGTGGGGAGGCTTCAACTCCTGGTGCCATTGGCCCATGCAGCGGTGACCTGCCCTGGCATGGCGACCCTCAATGAGATGGATGAGGAGGCGAGGAAATTGGCCATGCTGCTTTGGGCCCTGAAGGTACATCGTGGTGAACTTCGAATGTTTGGTGGCGTCTGGCGCCGGGTGCCTGAGTTCAGCCCGCCCCTCCCGGACTGGGCACAGCCAAAACCTGGTGCACTCTCAGCCAAGGAGGTGGACAGATACCGGGCATTGGAGAGGCGGACTCACCCCAGTTCCTTCGGCTCGGACATGCTAAACCCTTCCATTACACGGACCAGGAGGTGGAAGAACACAGGCGTGAGGGAACTCGGCCACCACTGAATTCCATCCTGTCGCCGGGAGAGCCGCACGTGGGACTTGAAGTCCCTCATCCACATCTACTCGATGCGGTACACGTTCAAGTACATCTACAGCCTGTGGTGCAGTCTCCCTCTGGCCATCGAAGCCAAGCAGCGAGGCAAGGATGCTCCAGAATCAGCCACAAGGACCCGGAATCTGAGGCGCACGGAGGCACGCAAGGAGGCCAGCTCATTTCTCACAGCCCTGGGCTTGGACAAGCCGACGGACAAGGAGTCGGGGAGGCAGCCGCTTCCTGCAAATTACCGAGAAACACTGGGGATCCCTAGCCTCCCTCCAGCTGGTGTTGGATGAGCCACCAGAGGCGCTCTACAACAAGTGGATCAAGGAACGCATGGAGTTCTACAAGCGGGTGGAGCCCTGCGCGGCCCCCGAGCGCCTTGAGCTGGTGGGCAAGATGAACCACCGCATGCGGTTCAGCACCAGCAACAATCTTGGGGCCGTGTCGGATGCCATCTGGCAGGTCATCTTGAGCAATGAGGAGATGAAGGGCATCAGGGCGATCCAGCAGGTGGCCCAGAAGGTCACGGCAGCTGCCTGAGGGGCGGCCTAGTGAGGGAGGATGCCGCGGGTGACTCGGCTTAGACCGTTTTCGTTTCACCCCATTTTGCATCCGTTTTGAGCTCTCGCACATCTGTGCTTGGACGCCGTAAGTGTCCTTCCACAGGTCCAGGTGCCCGTTGGCCTTGAACCGGGGGGGACCCGGCGGTGGCCATGGTGCGGCGCCTAGACGACCTGACTCGTTGCGCAAAAGAGGAGTGCTACTGAGCTTGGCTTTCTTCTGCATGTGGTGCTGTGTTAGGAGGGTTTTGATGAGGACTTTGATGTATTTTGCTTTCGGTTTTACTGGGTTTTAGGCTTCTTTGGGAAGCTGGCTTAGGGTTGGCGGTCTTTTGCCGCCATGAATTTTACTAGTGAGGCTTTCTTGAATCGGACACCTTACTGTCGCGCTTGGGAGTCGCTGCCCCGCCATATTTTCGATACCTTGGTGGATGAGGGATTTCCCCCCCCGCCAAACTGATGGAGAACTCCTGGCGATGGCTTGCCTGCGGGTGGGCGACTCAGACGAGGCCCTTGAACTCGGGGGCCAACCACCCTGAGTCTGCAGATCAACTAAATTTAGTTTTTGGATGAAATCAATGTAATTGAAAAAATTAGTTGGTTTCCTACTAAATTTTTGAAAAACTAATTTTTCATTGTAAATTTCAACAAAGTCAAAACAACATATAAACAAGATAGAAACAGCATAGAAACAACATATAAACAACATAGAAACAGCATA